CGGACTTTTGAGGTGTCGAATTTTGTGGGGGCAGCAGATACCGCGCACTGCCACTCGGGCGTAGGAACGGCCCCGAGAAAAGGGGGTCTCCCAGGATCGAAGGTCCACAGGTGTCTTATTGAGAGCGGAAAGGGACGAGGTCCCGAGGGGGACATCGCCATTGGTCTGTTCAGTCAGCTTGCTGGAAAGGGACATGTGCAGTTCCCTCGGCGGATGGCTCAGTGAGCACGCTCCGGATGTGCCAAACAGTTGGTGGTTGGCGGTTTGGAGTCCCGTTTGCACTCTTATAGGGGMCTGCGTGCTTAGCAGCCCCCTTGCAGTCTACGAACGCGAAGTTTCGGGCGTGGGTTTTGGGACCTCGTACTCGAGTAACGAGGGACTCTTTTCACACGCTTTGGGTGGTTTCCAGTTTGCGAGGGACGGGCGAGTCGTTCTTTGGTGGTCGAGTGAACATTTTTGCGGCGCCGTGCAGGTCCATGGTCATCTCTCTCCGAGGGCTCATTTCACGACAGCTCGGTCGTCGTTTGCGGCGGTTGCGGCTGTCGGGGCTTTCCTATGGCGTGGTGCCGGGTTGTGGATCGTTGCGTTCACCCTCGCTCATCGTCCTGCGATGATTGGCGCCTCATCGCCGACGGCAGTCCAGTTGGCGGTCGTTTGCAGGGTGTGGAGGCGGAGGTGCCCGTCACCGACTCTCAGCTTCGGCACCGTTATCCCGTAGGTTACGGGGAGAGCTGTTGCGGCTCTGTTGTGGTGTCTTCTCGGTGTCGGCACTCACAACGGTGTGTTCCGTTTGTGTTGAGGGGGTGTCTCGACTTGGTGAAGACGCTCTTCGCTCTTCGCCATCCGAGCGGCGCCATTGAGCGGTGGCACAGGTGGCCTCGGCCCTGCACCCGCTGCTTACCGTATGCGACGGCGGAGACTTGTGGGATGCGTGATGCACCCTCCGACGACGTTGCGAGGTTGGGCCCGTCATCCTGGCCGACTTGTTGGAATGCGCGCTTGTGCCCGTCTTGTCCCCCATCCTGTGGTCTCGGTATGCTGCACACCATGTCTTATCGCGTTGCAATGTGGTTCCGCTGCGTTTAGGTTGTGGGCTTTGAAGGCTACAGTCCTCTGTCTCCTGGGTTTCGCCTGCGTCGAGTGCTGTTGGCGATGCCCGTGGCAACAGGCGCATGTGGATCCAGGGGGGAGGGGGTGTGTTCCTTTTGCGCCCACGTGCACTGGCGGAGGCTCTCCGTCTGTCCGGGCGTGTTGGAAGCGTGGTGCATTCGTTTCTCTCTTCACCCACATTTCTCGATGGAAAGATGAGGCGGTGCACTTTGCTGTCGTTACGTTTTGGGCGGGCGGTGGCATCCGGCTGTGGGCCGAAGCTGTCTGTGGTTCCTTCGCGCTCGCCGTTGTTCGAATAGTGTGGTTATCTTTCGATCTCGGGGTGTGGTCTGCGAGGGTGCTGTTCGCAGCCAATCTTTTGAGCGGGTGCGGAGGGCTGTGTTGGATTGTGCGGTACCTTGTCGTTGGAGATGGCCTACAGAGGGGAAGTTCACCTGCAATTCAAACAGCCGGACTTCGCGTCGTCGGGGCAGCTCATTGCATGTTCCACGACTGTTCGACGTACTTTTGGTAGGATGGCCGGCGTGACGCGCCTACGTGGGCCTCGGCCATCGCTCCTTGCGGCTGCTCGTCACACCCGCTACCTGGTTGATCCTGCCAGTAGTCATATGCTTGTCTCAAAGACTAGGCCATGCACGTGTAAATGTGAACACTTTGCACTGTGAAGCCTTCCCTTCTATGCTTTTCTATCACCCTTCCTAATTCATTGTGACTCTTTTTGCTTGCCGGTGGTAAGTAACCGGACAGGAGCCCCCCAGAATAGAAGGGGCAGTGTGTGTGCTTGCGTTAAAAAATAAATAAATAAAAAAATAAATTGCAAATGGCTCATTTAATCAGTTATCATTTATTTGGTGGTCCCCAGAATAGAAGGGGCAGTGTGTGTGTTTGCGTTACCACTCGGATTCTAGAGCTAATACGTGCAACATATCCCGACTTCTGGAAGGGATGTATCTATTGGATAAAAGGCCGATCCGGGCTTGCCCGTTGTTGCGGTGAATCATGATGACTTGTCGAATCGCATGGCCTTTGAGCCGGCGATATTCCATTCAAATTTCTTCCCCATCAACTTTCGATGGTACGATAGAGGCCTACCATGGTGGTAAMGGGTGACGGAGAATTAGGGTTCGATTCCGGAGAGGGAGCCTGAGAGATGGCTACCACATCCAAGGAAGGCAGCAGGCGCGTAAATTACCCAATCCNCGATTCCGGAGAGGGAGCCTGAGAGATGGCTACCACATCCAAGGAAGGCAGCAGGCGCGTAAATTACCCAATCCTGACATAGGGAGGTAGTGACAATAAATAACAATACTGGGCTCTTTCGAGTCCGGTAATCGGAATGAGAACAGTCGTAAACTCCTTGAACGAGGATCCATTGGAGGGCAAGTCTGGTGCCAGCAGCCGCGGTAATTCCAGCTCGAATAGCGTATATTCAAGTTGTTGCAGTTAAAAAGCTCGTAGTTGGATTTTGGGTGGGAGGGGTTGGTCCGCTCTTGCGGGCGTGTACCTGCCCTTTCGCCTCTCGTGCCGGGTACGCGTTCCTTGCCTTTATTGGTTGGGATCCAGAGCCGGCGCTGTTACTTTGAAAAAATTAGAGTGTTCAAAGCAGGCCTGTGCTCTGAACATATTAGCATGGAATAACGCGATAGGACTCTTGTCCTATTTCGTTGGTCTTCGGGATTGGAGTARTGATTAATAGAGACGGTTGGGGGCATTCGTATTCCATTGTCAGAGGTGAAATTCTTGGATTTATGGATGACGAACTTTTGCGAAAGCATTTGCCAAGGACGTTCTCATTAATCAAGAACGAAAGTTGGGGGATCGAAGACGATCAGATACCGTCCTAGTCTCAACCATAAACGATGCCGACTAGGGATTGGCGGATGTCTATTGGATGACTCTGCCAGCACCTTGTGAGAAATTAAAGTTTACGGGTTCCGGGGGGAGTATGGTCGCAAGGCTGAAACTTAAAGGAATTGACGGAAGGGCACCACCAGGCGTGGAGCCTGCGGCTTAATTTGACTCAACACGGGGAAACTCACCAGGTCCAGACATAGCAAGGATTGACARATTGAGAGCTCTTTCTTGATTCTATGGGTGGTGGTGCATGGCCGTTCTTAGTTGGTGGAGTGATTTGTCTGGTTAATTCCGTTAACGAACGAGACCTCAGCCTGCTAAATAGCTACGCGGGGACCTTTCCTCGTGGCCAGCTTCTTTGAGGGGCTGTTGGACGACTAGCCAACGAAAGTTTGAGGCAATAACAGGTCTGTGATGCCCTTAGATGTTCAGGGCTGCACGCGCGCTACACTTATGAATCCAACGAGTCGCTTGCCTAGGTCGAAAGGCCCGGCTAACCTTCTTAAGGTTCATCGTGACGGGGATAGATTGTTGTAATTATCGATCTTGAACGGGGAATGCCTAGTAAGCGCGAGTCATCAGCTCGCGCTGATTACGTCCCTGCCCTTTGTACACACCGCCCGTCGCTCCTACCGATTGAATGGTCCGGTGAAGTGTCTGGATTGCTGCGATCTCGACGGTTTGCCGCTAGGGGTGTTGTGAGAAGTTCAGTGAACCTTATCATTTAGAGGAAGGACAAGTCGTAACAAGGTTTCCGTAGGTGAACCTGTAGAAGGATGATTGACACGTGAACGGCCGATCTTCAGGGTGTGGGACGCTCACCCTTTCCCCGCCCTTCGCCCCCATCCTCCCTTCATCCGCTTTTCTCTTCCGTTTCAGCACCATCTTGGGCTTAGTGTTCACCTGGCGGCTGGCCCAGCGCACAGGGGGGCGTGGTGTAGGTCGAGGGTGGGGGCGGTGGGCAAGGTCCGGGGCCTTGTGGCGTTGCTCCCCCTTCATCCTGTCTCGCCTCCGCAGGTTGTTACCTCGGCCCAAACCCACTTTCGACTTCTGGTCGGGATGGCGGTTGGTCCGGGCACGGACAGCCCTGCGGGAGGGTCAGGGGCGGGATGTCGGGTGGTGGCGGATGTCCTCGGCCTGCGGACCCCCGCTCCTTCCCGTCTCAACTCTTTCAAGACCTCCTTTCCATCCCGGCCTCCACCGCGGCTTCGTGCGGAGCTTGTGGCTTGTTTGGGGATCGAGGGTCGTGGTAGAGGCTAGGGGTGGGGTGTGTTGCGGGGTCCTCGTCCCCTCCCCGTTTCGTCCTGCCTTCCTTCCCAACGGGGTTCTCCTTTCCGGACAGATCGGCGTCCTCGACACTGTCGAGGTGGTCCGAATCTCGGGGTGGAGGGCCGTTGGGGGAGGGTTTTGGTCGTGAACGGGGCGGTGTCGAGTGGGGGGGGGGAGGAGACAGCGCATGCACCCTCGTTGCCCCGCTGCTCCTCGGTGCCCTGCCTGGCCCCCCGAACGGGGGTCGGACGGGCCCGTGGCAGCGGGCGGTGGCGACGACTTTGCAACTTCTTATTGATGTACCTGCTCTGATTTGTCGCTGTCCGGGTTGACGGGCCCCTTCTGTTCTGGTTGAGGGGTCGGTCCTGTGGGAACGACACCATATTATAGAACTCTCGGCAAACGAATATCTTGGCCCTCGCGACGATGAAGAGCGCAGCGAAATGCGATACTAAATGTGAATTGCAGAAATCCGTGAGCCATCGATACCTTGAACGCACGTGGCGCCCAAGGCTTCTGCCGAGGGCACGCCCGCCTGAGCATCATTGGATTCCTTACGACCTTAGCACCTTCCATTTCGGAGAGTGGTGGGGTTCGTGCTCGTGGCTTCCCTCGCTTCGTACTTGGAGAGCGTCGATAACCTAAAGTGGAAGGGAATTGGAGAGCATTCCGAGCGGGCCTGTGGGGGCTACAGCTCTGTTGTTGCCCTCCAACACCGGTTTGTGGGTGGTGGTCTTCGTTTCCCTGAAAACGACACATAAGGTCGTCCCTCCCGTTCGTGTGGTTTCCGCCTTCCGTTCGCTCCCATCGGCTTGAGGTGGGCTTACGGTTGGGGGTGTCGGCCTCGAGCTGTGGAGGTACGTCGGGCCTTGCCTTTTGATCTCAGGTCGGGTGGGAGCACCCGCCCAATTTAAACATATAACTAAGCGGAGGAAGAGAAACGAACGAGGATTCCCTTGGTAGCGGCGAGCGAACCGGGAATAGCCCAGACTGAAAATCCGGGGGCTCTGTTGCCCCCTGAATTGCACTCGTGACCAATGGACGTCGGAAAATACGCCGAATTGAATAGCGAAGCTTATTTACGAATGGTTGGCGAAATCGCTAAAAACCTTTGGCGAAGAGGAAATGTCTATTTATGAGTTCGTATTTTGAGAACAAAGCGTCCTTTTTTAGAGAATTACAAGTTATGGGCAATCACGAATATCTGAGAATTGCACTTCCGGTTTTACTTAGTCGTTTTTTTTTGGGGGGGGGGATTACATCCCGACGTGCGTTTGGGATTTCGGTACCGAAAACGCACTTCGGGAATTCGGGATTATACTTAGTCGTTTTTTTTTGGGGGGGGGTGATTATATCCCGACGTGCGTTCAGGATTTCGGTACCGAAAACGCACTTCGGGATTTCGGGATTTTACTTAGTCGTTTTTTTGGGGGGGAGGATTATATCCCGACGTGCGTTCGGGATTTTGGTAACGAAAACGCACTTCGGGATTTCGGGATTATACTTAGTCTTTTTTTTTGGGGGGGATGATTATATCCCGACATTCGGGATTTCGATACCGAAAACGCACTTCGGGATCTCGGGATTTTACTTAGTAGGGGGGGTGATTATATCCCGGCGTGCGTTCGGGATTTCGGTACCGAAAACCCACTTCGGGATTTCGGGATTTTACTTAGTCGTCTTTTTGGGCGGGGGTGATTATATCCCGACGTGCGTTCGGGATTTCGGTACCGAAAACGCTCTTCGGGATTTCGGGATTTTCCTAAGTCGTCTTTTTGGGCGGGGTGATTATATCCCGACGTGCGTTCAGGATTTCGGTACCGAAAACGCACTTCGGGATTTCGGGATTTTACTTAGTCGTTTTTTTTGCGGGGGGGATTATATCCCGACGTGCGTTCGAGATTTCGGTACCGAAAACGCACTTCGGGATTTCGGGATTATACTTAGTCGTTTTTTGGGGGGGGATGATTATATCCTGACGTGCGTTCGGGATTTCAGTACCGAAAANGGGATGATTATATCCTGACGTGCGTTCGGGATTTCAGTACCGAAAACGCACTTCGGGATTTCGGGATTTTACTTAGTCGTTTTTTTTGGGGGGGGGATTATATCCCGACGTACGTTCGGGATTTCGGTACTGAAAACGCACTTCGGGATTTCAGGATTTTACTTAGTCGTCTTTTTGGGCGGGGGTGATTATAGCCCGACGTGCATTCGGGATTTCGGTACCGAAAACGCACTTCGAGATTTCGGGATTTTACTTTGTCGTTTTTTTTGGAGGGGGGATTATATCCCGACGTGCGTTCCGGATTTCGGTACCGAAAATGCACTTCGGGATTTCGGGATTTTACTTGGTCGTTTTTGGGGCGGGGGTGATTATATCCTGACGTGCGTTCGGGATTTCGGTACCGAAAACGCACTTCGGGATTTCGAGATTTTACTTAGTCGTTTTTTTTGCGGGGGGGATTATATCCCGACGTGCGTTCGAGATTTCGGTACCGAAAACGCACTTCGGGATTTTACTTAGTCGTTTTTTTTGGGGGGGGATTATATCCCGACGTGCGTTCGGGATTTCGGTACCGAAAACGCACTTCGGGATTTCAGGATTTTACTTAGTCGTTTTTTTGGGGGGG